GGAGGTTTAGGATACAGTCCAGGTTTACAAATGATTTAAAAAAAAAAAAAAAAAAAAAAAAAAAAAAAGACATACCAAATAAGAAATGTAAATAAAATAATTTCAGTCTCATTCAAAAAAAAAAAAAAAAAAAAAGGTCAATTTGTTGGATATTTAGATTTGAAGAAGTTTATCGAAAATGTTAATTTCAGTTTTTGATAAATTTTTAAAAAATTTTCATAAATTTTTATCTTTAAATCTTAAAGAATAAAATTCACTCTAAACCTCTAACTAAATGTTTGGGTTAAAAAGAACGTCCGATCAGATTTATCAAAAACTGCAAACTATCAAAGTTCGAGTAATCCAGGCTCATCTCAGTTAATCGTTTTATTGAACAACTGAAGTCAAGTTATCACTTTTTTTACTTCCTGGTACCAACTAAAGGAAGAATTGTAATCACGGAAAATTTCGGTTATCATTTTTTGCGTGATGTCTGTAGGTGCGGACAGAATAGGATTTTTTTTTCATGGATTTAAAAATGGAACCAGAAGGGATTTTTTTTTCGTGATATATGTATGTACGTATGTATGTATCTCGCATAACTCAAAAACGAGTAGCTATAAAAGTCGAAAATTTGCATATGCGACTGATATAACAGGCACGGTACATTTCCAATTATCCGAATTCCGACTATCCGAATGGCTGATTATCCGAATCGCTTTCAGAATTTTTCAGAATCAACTGAAGAAGAGAAGGAAAAGGAAAAAGACGCTCAAGAAAAGGAAAAGAAAGAGACAGGAGAAGATGAGGAGTACGTCTCACTTGAGGAATTAAGAAACATTCTTTTGAAAATTCCTGGATATTCAGAAGTTAGTGCTTCAAATTCTAAATGATGATGAACTTATTGTAAGTGTGAGAGAAGAAAGTGTCGAAGAAGATGATGATCTTAATGTCGAAGTTGAAGCAGACACGGGACCATCAGCTAGTGAAGCATTTGCCGGCCTTGAAACTGCGCTGAAGTGAATGGAGCGTCAGCCCGAGTGTGACTACATGCAACTTCTCATTGTCAAGCGTATGGGTGACTTGGCTGCCGGAAAACGGATGAAGCCAGTCAAATGGTTTACTTTGACGAGATGTTCAATAAGCAATGACTTTCAGCACTTGTAAGTACTGTAGGGTGCGCTATATAACATGCACGTAAAAGTGTTGTTTTTACTTCCTTGTACGAGTAAAAAGTACGAAGTATTGTAATCGCGAAAAGTTTCAGGCAACATATTTCAACGAAAATATCCATTTTGACTGCTATCGAATGCAATTTAACGATGTTTTTGCGTGATATCTGTACGTAAGGAAAGAATAAAAGACTCTTTTCCTCAAAAAAAATTATAAAACTGCTTTAAAATTAATTCTGAAGAGAACTTTTTGGTGGCGTCTGAACGAACGTATGTACGTACGTATCTCGGATAATTCAAAAACGAGTAACCTCAGAACGTTGAAATTTTGCACATAGGACTGCTATAACATGTAGATGTGCACCTCGTATTTTCGTTGCAATCGGCCGCACCAAACAAATATAAATATATTTATATATATATCCAGTCAGTTACCCGGCTCAGTGATCTCAGTTTCTTTACTCTTATATGTTTGCAAATTGTACATTTTTTGCTTTAAAAATGATTGAATTATGTTGTTTTTATCTTCCGGTTAAGGTTTTTATGCCTTTCGTAATTCTGGAAGCAATATTTGTACAATTATCAACAATTTAAAAGCTGTTTAAGTGCGGTTAAGTTTTAAATAACATGGCGGGCATATTTGTTTACATTTGAAACAGCAGAATTATCGATTTGTTGCCAATCTAGAGAATAATGCTTAATCCTTTCTGGAACTTTTTCGAGGAAATAAGTGTTTAAGATTTACTTCGTAACTTTTAATGCAGATATTTTATGTATTTTTGCCTTGTCGCGAAGTGAGAACTGAATTAATTGAATGAGAAATACTCAGTCGTCTGTGAAAACTGCTTCTTTTCTGTTTTGTTTGCTTAATTTCTTTCATACATCGTTTTAGCTTTATTATAGTATTTGAATAGAACATGTGGCAACGATAATTCTTCAAATGATATAAATTTTGTGCATTCAGAGTGTCGTTATAGTAAACAAATATAGTGAATTTTAAAGAGTGCATTTATTCTATTGTGGTTTATGCGCTGTCGACGAAGTAGATTTAATTCAATCCAATCAATTTAAATGAAATTCAAGAAAAAAATGCGTATAATTTAATATTCCGTACAAGGAAGACGTGTGGTGTACACATCAGATTTTTTCATTTGAATTAGTTAAAACCTCTTTTCTTTAAAAAAAAATTTTTTTTTTCATTTACAACATACAGTAAGTACGTACAATAATTAATTAAAGTGTACCTAGACCCTTTCTTCGGAAAAGATCCAATTATCCGAATGGTATCTGATCCCAATTGATTCCGGATTTTTGGAGTTCTACTGTAGTTGTATTCCTCTTTTTCTCGTTGCATCCCGTCGCACCAAACATACATATATTGCAGTCTATTGCTCGACTCGGTGAGCTCAGTTTTTTTATTCCTACATGTTGTAAATTGAGCTTTTTTTTTTTTTTTTTTTAAGTGATTAAATGTTGTCATTCTTATATTTCGATTAAGGTTTTTATGCCTATGGTTAGTCTGATTACAATTATCAACACTTTAATGATTTAAATGACGCTAAGCCTCGTTAGGCTTAGCGTCATTTAAATCATTAAAATGTTGCTTACGTTTGAAGCTCTTAGTGAAATAATGAATTAATTCCGCTGATGCACCAGCTACAGTGTCTTTTTGCCCGGTATGACATTTTCAGTTTTGTGTACGGAAAATGTTCTCTTCCCTTTTCGCTGGCCGAATTGCTTGTTTGTGCATACAAACTCTAATTTTAATTAATTGTAAAAATCGTTTTTTTTAAACTGTCATTAACTGTCTTTGGTATTTTATATTTTACTGTAATTTAGAATTTTTAATTAAGATGGTTTGAATTTTTATATATATTTTTGCCTTGCCTCGAAGTGAGAACTGAATTAATTGAATGCGAAATATCACCTGTAATGAAATTCTAGGAAATGAATTTAAATGAAATGTGTATAATTTACAAAAAAAAAAAAAAAAAAAAAAAAAATGTGTAGAATTTAATAGGCTTACATGGAAGTCATGACCATACAAGGACACCATCGTGACCACATACGATATTTTATTTCTTAAAATTTATTACTTCTTAAATTAAATTTAATTGACTTCGATCACATATTACTGATTATATATTACGGCTGAGAAACTTTATTCTGAATTTTTCGAAGAGAGAAACATAGAGTATGTTTTCATAAGATAGCTTTATTTTTTCCAACAAAATAAAAGAATAATAATTTACATAGTTAATTAACTATTGTGAGCATTTGAATGAAACTATAACAGTTCCAATTTTGGGACATATTTGACAAAAATGAGACATATTTTGCGAATACAATACGAATTTCTGAACAATAATCACTGTTTTAAGCTTACTATATTTAGTTGCAGATTTAAATGCATTGGTTATTAACAGATGTACAAAAATGAATCAGTGTTGTTTGTATACAAAAGAATTACTGAATGGAATTCCATCTTTTTCTATTTTTCAACGCATACGACGCTATAAGGCAAGATTTGTTTATCTGTCTGAAAGGAATTGCATAAAAGTTTACTTGTATCCAAGTTTCTAGAATTCCAAGCAGTTTTGATACTAACATATCAAATTATAAATCCGTAAAGAAAATTCTTTGTAAAATTTGAAGAATTTTGTATGTGAAAATTTTAAATTTTTTCTGGTGTATATTTATTAAGAACTTTAAAATTTCTTTATAAATTTTCTTAAATATAAAATTTTCTCCATTTCGAAATAGTTTCAGCAAATGTGTTTCATTGTATAAAATTCTTAGTGCGTAATAAGCATAAAATATTAGAAGAAATTTTGAGCTGATGAAAAAATCAAATCAGGTTATTGGAATATGGTAAAGCTTACGAGAGGCTATTTGCCTAAGAGGAAGGATGCCTTCGTTGAGAATTTCGTAAGGATTGCTTACTCGTATTCACATGACACTTGGGGAAAATCGCGAAAACCAGGCATGCAGCCAACCCTTTTGCCTAGGCTTGAGCCGATGAAAAATTATGAGTATTTAATGGTCTTAACACTCGGCCACTTGTAGGGAATTTTAAATGGGTTCAAAAAAATTTTAGGGCCATCGATGTTGGGATTTTTTTTTTCCGCTTCATCAAATTTAGGTTTGGTTTGGTTTATTTAATTATGAAAAAGCCCACGAGAACTATCTGCCTAAGGGGAGGGGTGCCTCGTGGAGGACTTTCTACGGGAAACTGGTTCGTATACACGTTACACATTAGAAAAACCATGAAAATGCCCATGCAGCCAGTCCGTTCGCCTGGAATCGAACCCAGGTTCAAACTACCAGTGTTCAGCTACATTACCGCTGTGTAGCTGGTGGGCTTCTCCAAATTTAGGAGTCCCAGTAAGGGAAGATATGAATAGGACATTATTCGTTTGCCCCGAAATTTCAGTATTTAACGGACCTGTGGTTACTTGTGCTTTTCATGATTTCCTTGATATGTAATGCGAATTTACGATGGTTATGAAGTTTTTCATAAAAGCATTCCTCTTGCATGCCTTGTTGTGATCATTCTATCACCTGAATGGTGAAATTAGAAGAATTCGATTCCATCATCCTCCCCCCCCTACCCCAGAATGAAGCAACATCGCATTTTAAAAATTTTTCAAAATGTGTTTAACACTTATATCCTGGGACGGTGAATTGGAAAAAAATGGATCTATTGCTTTGTACTCGTGATGCTTGAATCTCACCTAATTAAATATCATCTTCACAATCGTGTTTATTAGGAGAAAAGAATCGTTGCAGCCATGGGCGTAGCCAGGGGGTGCAGGGAGGTGCACTTGCACTCCCCTAAACGAATGCAAATTTTTTTTTTTTTTTTTTTTCAGACTAACAAGTTAGTGAAACTTTTTTTTCTGTTTCTTATATTGCTTTTTAAGGTCTCTTCCCCCCCCGGTCTTCTGTAGAATCGTAGCCGAATTACTTTAATTTTTTTCCCCAACTCCAAAGATTTTCACAGCCGGTCATACAAATAAGGCCACCTAGCCTTGGAACATCCTTTTGCTTACATTCACCTTAAACGATATAAATAAGTAACGGATGTCTGATTGTAATTGCAACTGGTCGTAATTCCAAGAGTTTTCTTATAGACAAGCGTTCCCTCTTTTGTCCGGTCTAAGTATAATTTTTAGTACTCTGGGAACTAACGACAGACTTCTTTGTGACGATGACATTTGCAACTTCCAGATCTCTTTCTTGGATTAATGACAAGGGGAAAGGAAATTATTGCAAAACTCTTTCCTAATTCGAGTCATTATGGTGTTTTAAATTTCACAAAATACTTTGTGTTAAATAATTAAAGAAACGAACGCTGTAAAGTATAATAATTCGTTTAATCTGTTCGAAAAACGCTTGTACATGGATCAAGGATCAAGGAAGTTTAAAAGTGCTCAGCAATTACTGGTGCTCAGCAAATTTATCTACTCTACCACTGACGAATTCGTCATGTCATAGTTTCGTTTTCTCGGTCTTTGATCGTTTGCATCCCCCTAGCTCCGATCCTGGCTTCGCCCATGGTTGCAGCATCTTCAAGCCTTCAATTGATAATCTTCTTTAAATCTTCACCAAAAGTGAATATTTCGATGTATGCCATTTTGTGAATGGCACACACAAGGAATCACTGTGATACCTTTCAAAATCTATGTTAACTAATAATAGTAACAAAAGTATTTAGAGCAGTGTTGTATAATTCTCATTATTAATGTATATTTATTACTATTAAGTTTTCACAAAATCCTGTCGTTATTTTAAGGACATCCTGTGGAGTTAATTATATGCATCCTTTCGAAAATTCTGTAGTTTAACAACAATATTAAATCACTTTCAGTGTTGCAATTAACTCTAAAGATGCGAACTTCTTTAAAAGTGTTTAAACTTGATAACGAAAAGAAAGACTGAAGTATTTATTATCTGTTTGTAAAAGGGAAATGTTACATAATTTTTATGCTTACTTCCATAAAATTGCAGCGCACATTTGCAGTTATTCACCAATCAATAAGTTTTTAAGATAAACTGATAACTTACTTCTGTTAATTTCAGTGCATCAGTTTCTTTATTGAGAATATTTAGTCTCTTATCTGCGATTTTGGAAGTAATGCTAAATTTTTACGTTGAGATATTTGATTTATTGAAAGCATTGATAACATAGATGTATACAAATTTAAACATTTTTATATAGATTTCACAGTTTTAAGCGTGATATGTGTTTATTTTGACTAAATTATAACATTATGCTTTATTTTTCCTTAATACGTTAAATAATAAATATTTTTATGATAAAATATTGAAACTAATGCCCTTTTCAAACGTAAAAAACGAAAACACTCATATTTGTTTTAAAATTCATCTCGAGAACATTTATACAATATCTATATACATATGAAGTCAAAACTGAAGCCATTTTTCAGTGGCGTTCTTGGACACATTCTTTAAAATGTGTGGTTTAGAACACAAGAATCAATGAGATAATCCTTTTCGATTGTGTCATTTCTAACAGCTGCTTTGCCAAAGTATTTGCTTTTCAAATATATCTAAAAATCACAGATTCCTTAGTCCATTCTATGTTGCCATTCAACGGAACAAAAAGTGTTTATTTGCTACATTAGTACTTGTATGTAATGCCTTGTAACTTTGGCAGCCACAGTCTTGTAATAAATAAAGTGAACAACACTGCCAACATTCAGGAGACGGGAAAAGTATACGAGAGATAGTTAGGATTCATTGTCAAGCATTTAACTGTCACCAGACTCTGGTTTCACCTATATGAGCTGGAACGTGATTTGACATAAAGGGAGAAAACGCAGGGCCGCCATCCTGTTGCGGTTGTGGTCTTCCTGCAGAAGCGTAACTGTTTTCCGACATAGCACCCAAAACATTCTCTGGACTTGACCTTGATCCTAGGCAATCCGGTGGTGTGTTGACATAAGAGCCATCTGTCGTCAGATTTGTCACGCCTGGTGTATAAGGAAAAACAAAAATAAATTCAGTGGGTCTATAATGGATAAAGCGTAATGAATACTGTTTTAGAAAATAAAGCAAAATGTTTTACTTATTCATGCATTACTGGCCGAGGTCTTAACATATTTTTAAGTTGTGAGGCATTATGACGTTTCCCCAGTGGTTAGCACGTCCAAATATCTCGAAATAACCCGTTAAAAATAGTTAATAACACATGACAATATCGCAGAACGCCATCACTAGTCGAATAGTATCCAAATTATCGTCGATGTAATAGGATTTCCACATAAACACGAAGCTGCAGCGGAATGGCGCACCAAAGCAGAACCGTCCAGCCACCAAGTGAGTCAAGCCATGCTTCGAATCCTGGCGAAGGCAAATTTTATGTTATTTCTCATGTTCCGTGGTTCGAAAAATCTAATGTTCTTATCAGTGGCATTCGAACATTAAGGGGACTCATACACCTTAAACCCCTTATGATCTTCGAATATGTGACTGTTGCAGAAATTGGGATAATTTATTTATTTTAAAAGCAATTACTTCCAACTTTTTACAGCTGATTACATAATATAGCTGCTTTGGAAAATAGAAACCAGAAAGTTTGTGTTGCCACAAATATTTTTGTAATTTAATCCTCTTTGTGACAAAATATTTAGCCATGTTTCCATCTTGCGCGCATGATATTTTAAAAATGGCTAATGGTACATACTTGAAATTTGATGGAATTCTTTATATGGGCACTATTTTCTAACTGAACCAACAATATGATGAATATTTTGATATTGAACAATTTTATGGACGAAAAAATTAAAAATTTTGTTAATAAAATACATTTTATAAACTTAACTCAAAATAAAATAAAAATTTAACATGAAATTTTTAGAATTTTAGGTTCACAGTAGTTTCCAAATGTTATAAAAGCTATATATTAAATATGGAATTAAATTATGAAACAGAATGTTTTAAACTGTGCGCGCAAGTTGGAAATATGACGAAAAATGTTGTCAAAAAGCGGATTAAATTATAAAAATATTTGTGCAACACAAACTTTCTGATGACTATTTCAGAAAGCAGCTATATTATGTAGTCAGCTGTAAAATGTTGGTAGTAATTGCTTTTAAAATAAATAAGTTATCCCAATTCTTGCAACAGTCACCTATTCGAACATCTTATATGTTTTAAGGTGTATGAGTCCCCTTAACTTGCTGGACGGTAATACTTCACCATCTGGATTTGGTTAACTAGATCTCATATATTTTGTCAGTCACTTTTTAACTAGGAGAGAGTGTAAGGAATTAAAGCATTCTTCTCCTGCATGCTTTCGTGATGCATGTGTTTAGCATGACCAGCTAGCAAATGGAAGATTCGTGGCTCGAACCTCGGGCAGAGTACAATTGAATTCACATAACTCTTGCTCCGAAATTCCATTATGGTTATACTACTATTATAATGTATTACATCAGTGTCTCAGATTGCATGCGGAACAAATGCACGATCTGGAAACAGATGACGGGTCAGATATTTTTTTAACAAAAAAAGTTTTATTTACGGAATAAAAATATTTAAAATAAATGCTAAATTTCTCTTACTAAATATTTATCAAAACATACATAAACTCTAATAATAATATACGCAGAGGAAGGTTTCAAATTTATATTTATTATTCCAAAGGGCGTTAGCCCAGAAGGGCTATTAATTTCGTTTTGGTATTTTGTGTTGGTTCACTATAAATGTCGGTTCTTATGAGAGTTCTAGATTCTTATTACTTACCATTATTTATAGAATTTGGATGTTCCAAGGAATTTCCTGGTGGACCGATAGGTACTGTGCCAGGAAAATCTGCTATTCCACCTTGTGGATGATGTCCCGGGAAATAGTCGTAAAATCCCGGATGAGGCCCATAGTTGAAGTCATTCGGACTGTTTGAATCTGGAAAGAAACCGTAAATAAGTCATCATCTTAAAAAAGAATCATTGTTTCGAGAGGGTAACTAATATGGCTAATTATCGGTTACAATAGACAATAATCGTGGAAGACTGTCTTGGTCCAACAACTTGAATTATTGTCGTTACGCTACACTGCTCACTCAATCTGCAAGACCTGTCTTCTTTACCGCTGTTGAAAAGGGCCTATATAGTTGATAAGGTGTTGTGCATTATAAAGATCTGCGAGAGGAATAATAATTTCTGGAAGTATCAGTTTATCAACGCATCACAGTACCGCGAATTTCTTATCTGTGGTACATCGTGATGAATGAATCTGAGGTATTAATTTTTATGTAGCCGTAAACTAATATGTTTGTAAAAGTTACAGAATTAAAGTCATTTGTTTTAGGATGTTTGTAGGTTTCGGAATCAATTATCACTTCATCAAAAGCAGTAAAATAAAGCGAGTGAAATAAAAATACTGGTTGTTCAATTAAAACAGGATTTCTACTTACCGTGTTTACTCGCGTGGTAATTTTTTTGCCAGTTTTTCATTGTAAAAGTTTTAAGTGCGACTATTATGCGGGAATATATTGTACAGTTTTGACGATTTTGAATGAACAGCAGGAAAATGTTGCTCCTTAATAAAAATTTTTAAATATTGTTACAACTTGGTGTAATCAGAACGAAAGTGCTCCAATATAACTGAAGATATCACCGGAAAATCGGTATTTGGATATTAGCGGAACCTAGTAATAGACCGCCAACAATTTATTTAAGTCATTTTGCCGATGAAATATATTTTCGGCCTGTCCGTCCTTTCATAGACAATATAATCCGTCCGTACTTTCATACACATAGGAGACAAAGACGGTCCACCTATTAGGTGCCTCCATAATAAAGTAACCACCAAAAAGCATTTTGAACAAGATGCTAAGCATTTCGAATTACTTTAATTTTTTTAATTAAAAAAAATTTAAAAACTTATGAAAATTTGCAATTGAATTCCGCATATTAATTACTAATATTTTAATTCTTCAAATAGACTCGTATTTAGAAAAATTTTTAAAAACTTATAAAAGTCTGGAACTGAAATCTGTACATTACTCTTTATATATTTTTTGATCTCAGCAAATGGCAATGTTATACACAAATTTATCAGAAGGGATTTTTTTTAAATATATTTTTGAAGTAATGGATACTAACATGGCAAAATTTTTCTGGTTGAATCATTATTTTGGATTAGGTTGTGTTCTAAAAAATAACCAAATTTTTGTTATGTATTTTAAACTGTCCGTCGCAAGAATAATTGTATTTTTAATTTCGAATGATTACTAGTGGAAGAGGAAGTCGGAAGTTCACCCGTGAATGTGCATCTTGGCTGCTTATTTGTTGCAGTTCTAAACGAAGTTGGTAGGCAAGGGGAAAGAAAGAAAATTCATATCAAACATTTGTTCAATACACATCTATTTGAAGCTCGAAAGCCAATCTGTTAAACGCTTTAATAGTGAATGCGCCTAATTTCACGCTATGTTCTTCCTCTTGTACATGCTGTTCTTATTTTTTACTTCAAACGGAGTTTTCATTGGGTATCAGAGTTCAGAAGATTGCCCCTTTCCTGTTTCAATGAATTACAATGAAATCTCCTTCAAACCCACAACTCCAGACCATTTTGGTGGTTTCTCTGCAGGTGATGTTCACTACTGATATATGTTTAAGTTTTAAGAAACACTTGTTTTTTTTTTTCACAGATTGTTATTTATATAAGGTGATGGTTATGAAAAGTTACACTATATATTTAATAAAAAAAAGAGTTCAGGTATATAATAGGATATATAATTATGATAGGATTCTAGTATTTGACAAATGTTGCGTGACAATTCATACAAATTTAGAGATATGAAACATACACTAATTTAAAAAAAAAAAAAAGAAAATTAGAAATGTTTCAGATTTTAAATTACGTCCAAAAAGATGTTTTTTTTTTTTTTTTTTTTTTTTACACATTTTGTTGCGTGACAATGTTTTTTTACATTTTACAAATGTTGCGTGACAATGCATACAAATTTAGATATATGGAACACACATTAATAAAAAAAAGAAAAAGAAAATTAGAAATGTTTCAGATTTTAAATTACGTCCAAAGGGGCGGTTTTTTTTCACATTTTGTTGCGTGACAATGTTTTTTTACATTTAACATTTTGTTGCGTGACAATGTTTTTTTACATTTTACATTTTGTTGCGTGGCAATGTTTTTTTACATTTTACATTTTGTTGCGTGACAATGTTTTTTTTTACATTTTACATTTTGTTGCGTGGCATGTTTTTTTACATTTTACAAATGTTGCGTGACAATGCATACATATTTAGACATATGGAACACACATTAATAAAAAAAAAAAAAGAAAATTAAAAATGTTTCAGATTTTAAATTACGTCCAAAAGGGGCGTTTTTTTTTTTTTTTTTTTTTTTTTTTTTTCCCCACATTTTGTTGCGTGACAATGTTTTTTTACATTTTACATTTTGTTGCGTGACAATGTTTTTTTACATTTTACAAATGTTGCGTGACAATGCATACAAATTTAGATATATGGAACACACATTAATAAAAAAAAAGAAAAAGAAAATTAGAAATGTTTCAGATTTTAAATTACGTCCAAAGGGGAGGTTTTTTTTAACATTTTGTTGCGTGACAATGTTTCTTTACATTTAACATTTTGTTGCGTGACAATGTTTTTTTACATTTTGTTGCGTGGCAATGTTTTTTTACATTTTACATTTTGTTGCGTGACAATGTTTTTTTTACATTTTACATTTTGTTGCGTGGCATGTTTTTTTACATTTTACAAATGTTGCGTGACAATGCATACATATTTAGACATATGGAACACACATTAATAAAAAAAAAAGAAAATTAAAAATGTTTCAGATTTTAAATTACGTCCAAAAGGGCGTTTTTTTTTTTTTTTTTTTTTTTTTTTTTTTTTTTTTGTGTGTGTGTGTGTGTGTGTGTGTGTGTGTGTTACATTTATTTTATAAATATTATGTTTTTCGCACTTAACCATAAAATTCAGTTCAAGAGCCACTATCGCAAAATAATTTGAAATTGAGCCTATCATTAGAATTTCCGATACACAGTCTCTCGCGCTGGAGGTAAAAATGTTTTGTCTGTACAACGTTGCCGTTGCTCGCTTTGAAATCCTTGAGTTTGTTAATCAAAAATTCTTTAAAGTTTTACAAAATATGAAATCGTCAATAAAAAAAAATTCCAAATTTCTACTGCGAATATGGGCATCTGGAAGCCCAATTTTCTTACTAAGATGGTTTTACAAAACTTTTTTTGTCTTTTTATTATTAATGTTTTGTGGGTTTACTTTACTTATTGAATATCACGTTCTTGGCGCTTACGTCACATAAAAGTGGATTTAAAAATATTTAAAAACAGCATATCTTTAGAATTCCCGATATGCAGTCTTCCGCGCTGGAGATATAAATGTTTTATTCCGTACAGTATCGCCACTACTCGCTTTGAAATGGTTAAATTTATTAATCAAAAATTAGTTAATGTTTTAAAAAAATAAGAAATAGATAATAAAGCAACTTTCGAATTCTGGCTTCCAGATGCTCATATTCGAGTGGATGATTAAGTCATTCAAAATTGGATGGCTCTAGGTACCGCTGTTTTATCACAATGCGAGAAACATACATATATTTATGCAGATTCTTCATTATTTAATTTCTTCATATATAATACAAGGCGATAATATTTGGTGGCAACATTTTGGAAAGTGAAACGGACATTCAAAGGACAAAGCCCCTTTGTACTAAAAATAAGAAATGTTATCAATATTTAATTTTAAGCTTTTAAACTAAAAATGAATTAAGAAGGTTTAAATAAGCAAATATATATGTTTAGTCAAATACATAATAGTAATATATGTAGCTGTTTATATTTTAGCAAAACTAATCCATTAATAAAGTATGGCGCCTGTTTAAATCTTTTCAGGATCGGAGAACTTTTTCCAATACAGCTAAAAATTCGGGATAAAAATTTTTTAGACTCGGTACGCTTTGTGTTAACAGCTTGTTGTTTTCTTTAAAATATGACGTTTTTGTGTTCTTGTTATTGTGTTTTAATATCGTCATCTCAAAAGGACTTTATATCTGTGCCGCAATTTTGCATCTTTTAAAGTTCTCCAGGTTCAACTAAAGTATACACCCCCCCCCCCAAAAAAAAAAATATAAATGGAACTTCGAGATTTAATTTAAGAATTTCTGCTGCTAAACTACTGTTACTATAAAGCTAAACTTTTCTGCTACTAACTACTGTATGTTTCTTCTGTTGAGCTTTATGAACTTCCGAAAAAAGAAACTTGAATGGCCGAGATTTAATTTAAGAATTTCTGACTACTCTAGAGCTATATTTCTTCTCTCGAGGTGATCTCTTGATTAAGGGTGAACTTCCGGGGAAAAACTTGAATGGGACTTCAATGTTTAATTTTGGAATTTCTAAGTACAGTAAGACCCCGCTTAACGCGGGGGATACGTTCCATCAAAGTAGAGCGTAATGCGAAACAGCGCTAAACGAGGCTATCTTTACATGTAAATATTGGGGTTAGGGGAAGATGGCTAGGAAATTGGTTAGGTATTAAATTTAAAAAGTATGTTTTTTTAATAAAAATAAAACCAAACATTTATTTCTTAAAGCCCAAATTAATACCACATTATTATTTCTTGCAAAAATAAAAACAAAATATAAATAACAAAACGAATATTCTTAAAAAAAAAAAAACAAATAAAATTCTCAGTCAGTCATATTTAGTTAGCCTTCCGCGTTTTCGGTGTTCTGCCTTTTTGTGACAAAAGCATCTAATGTTGTTTGCCTTTTTCTTTTGCGTTGTTCTCTTAAAAGTTCTTCATAAACGGATAGAGCATCTCTAACACCACGCCTTACTTTTGAGCTCCTGTCAAAATTCGGATCATTTTCAATGAATTGATCCATT